CTATGTGTAAGTGGATAATATTATCTCTTTACGCGTGCAGTTCGTTCCACAAGATTTCTAGAAGCAACATCCACTAACCCGTCTGCTGTGAAAGCAGTTAGGCTGTATACGAGAGGAAATATATACTTCTTCATCACGAACTCGAGAAATATGCCATATATCAGAAGGGGACTGAAAGTAACATCTGCATCAATTGTCTAAAATTTTATAAAGTTTTTCTCGTGAACCCAAGTGCTTTACGCTGGATATCGAATGAACCTAGGATAAAAACTGAATCGGCTGGCTGACAGCTGTTTAATTAGACGGTTACACTTTCTCTGTTGACGTTCTCAACTGACAAGTAAGCGACATAAATTACGTGTATACGTTGCAATTTTTCGAAGTCAGAAAACGCGGGAAAACATCGCTGATATCAGCAGGGTAGTCTCTGGAATAACTGTGAGGTTTATAAATCACCTAGACTGACGTGTGTAGGGCATTTCGGTACATAAATCCTTCATCTCTCGTTGTTTGTGCTCTACAGTTTTCAAGACCCGTATTTTGATCACAAAAAATGTGAAATTCTGTATTAAACTGGACATGTTAAAAACACTCACTCCCTGATGACACTGTTATCAGCAAAACACCTTTGTCATGGAGGATTCTAAAGCTAGTCAAATCAGAAAACAAGAAAGACAGGGTTCGAAATTGTCAATGTGTCGAGGAGCATGTAGTCGGAACTGATCAGTCGTTGCAAGATATGTTAGGCATGGTGTGCCCAAAAGTGATCTATATTTCTATATTTAACATAAACTTTGTGGGTCATTGGGACATGCTGATACAAACTGTTGTTTGTACATTTTTCTGACTTTTGCATGTTTAGTTGTAATTTAATTGATTATTTTGTATGTATTGATGTCTATTTACTTCCGCTTATATTATTCAGTGCTTGATTTCAGGTATGTGCTAGTGTTTATGATTCACTACTAACTTTGAAAATATTTTAGTGCTACTTGTCTTATGTGTCTGACATCTGTATTCCAATTGGTTACTTATAATATATGCATGATTCACCTTATATGTGGACCGAATCACCCATTACTCACTGGGTAGTTATTTACGGCATCTCTTGTCTGTATTTATTCAGTTTCGATGTTCACTCGTTCAGTTCGCCTGCTCATACGAATGTCTGTAATATACATGTCTTAAATCCAACTCGTATTCGACTTTTTGTTTCTACTTTATGTTAACCTGATTGTTCGACAGATGATATACAAAGTTGAGAAAGTGATATTTTTTACTGTCATTATCATCGGTCATTCATGCTGAAGACGACGAAGTGGTGTAAAAATGCCTACCATTTATTTATTTGTTTAGAGTATTCTAAAAATAACATTTCTATATTTAACACAAAACTTTGTAATACGATATCATTCTAATTAATGGTAGACAAATGAAACGTGTCATATATATGAATAACAACCTTATCGACTTGTTCGATTTCATGAATGGCAGACAAAATATTGAATGATGACAAGGTGGGGAGGATTAGATTTTCTGAATAACATTGTAGGGCCAGTGAAATGTCACTGAACCCTAGTTAAATCATCCAGCAGTTGGGTCACTGAATATCGAACACACCATCGATCCCTTTCAAGGTCAAGGACAGTCAACACGCATTAATTAATCATAAACCATGGACTGGCCCATGCTGCAGTGGTTCTACTTTCGCTTGTATCTACTTTAACTAACATATTCCTGTAATAACGTCTTTTGTGTTGCACAGTCTTCAGAGCATACATGATCCCTTGATACGTCGATGAGGCAATCCACGTAAGGTGCTGGTCGCGAGGTGTGACTTCGAAGTTAGTTAGTTCGTTACACCGTTCCCGTCTAACTCGAGTAGGCCTCCAATCGTTCGACATAGATCATCAACGATGATATCCTACAACATGAATTCATTAAATTCCAAGGCTTCTCATCAGATGCAAACGGCATTCATTGATTAGGACCGTTTTTCGTCTTATTTAAACAACGAGAAGATATTTAGTGTACATATCTGACAAAAGTTTTAATCGAGAGAGTGGGTTCCCCTTAATACAAAAAGCATGAATTTATAGTTTCACTTGAATTAAGATTTGTATACGCTTGTTTATTTTGAAAAACTGAAGAACCAATCAGAATTATTTCATGACTTTTGGGATTGGATAAATGTAATAATCTTATAATAATCGGTCAGTATCATGATGAAATGATTGCGAAAAATGATAAAAAATATCTGTTAATCACGGCTAGGAAATCGTTAACCATAAACTGATTCGCTTACTTGTAATAATAATAATAATAATAATTTATTCTCAAATAACATTGTTACATGAGGCATGCCGGTTTACAGGCAAGATCAAATTGTTAAAGAAGTTACAATTTTCACTGTTGAAAATTACTCAGTTGGGTTGATATTTCATAAGATATGAATGTAAATGGATTTCATAAGAAACATGTCAATATCAATATCACATTTGGCGCACTTTATGGAGGTAGCGTTGCAACATACAACTGATGTCCGAGAATGGATACATGCGAGGTTGGGGGCTTTTAGAAGTTTCGAACTTATGTCCCTCCAGAATATCGGAAGCATTAATAACGGTGTAGGACGAAGTCACCCGTGCCATTTCTGTTTTCGATGGAGTATCTGCAGGAGGCTGAAAAAGGTGTAAGAAAAAGGAAGGACGAAAAGTAGAGCACACAATTTTCATGGAGGAATAGTTAACGTATAACCATTTAGTCTATTTGTCTGTTAGTGAAGTATTTATTGGGTAAGAACATACTAATGTGTTAAAGAAAAATAAGTGTGGGCAAGGTATGAATGGATAAGGAACTGTATAAATGAAGGTAGTTTAGAAGGAAGTATGGAAATGTGTAATTATAAAATAAAGTGCTGAAAACAGTATTCCGATACAAATGACTGTCTCTCTTTACTTTAGAAGCTGTTTGAACTCATTTTTTTTTGTTTTCAGATTTTATAGGGTATAGAGTGGGCTTCGTTTTTAGCCAATTGTCAAGTTTGCTTGTATTAGGATTACTTGGTAGGAAGTGGAACCAATTCAGCTTTTTTTTAACACGATTCAAAGTGGTATTTTGCATGAATAATCTTGCATCAATACCGTTGGTTCGTGACATCCCACTAGACATAAGGAGCCGTAATTAATATGTTCTGCCCCACAGACACGGGTGGATTGAAGTTATCTCCCCACCATCATGTTTGCTGGTCAGTAACGCCACCCTCCCTCCTTTTATGATGTTAGGCTCTCTTACGTTTGTGGTCGGTATGAATATTGCTTTTATCAAGGACCATATTTGGAATACACTGTCTCTACAAGTTCCATGTTACAAGCAAATCAGATGGTTATAGCATTTGTATTATGGGTTAGATATCCATTTAATATATCGTACTACTATGAATATAACTTATGGTGAAGTTTAGAAGAGACAAGTCAGATTATATGTGGTTAAGAGATGGTAAGGGCTAATTGCAGACCAGAGGATATGATAGTAAATATTGTAAAATTTTCAGGGTAAGAAAAAAAAAACATTAAACAACTCACAAGAATTTAGGACGTATGAGCTTCTTTTGATCAGCCTTAGTTGGTCAGCATCCATAAGATTAGTGAGTTATCTGTCTACTTGTAATAAGAAAAATAAAAGGACATGACACTTAGGAAGAATAATTTGGATTTATCCATTAGAGAGATTCGGAAACTGAAAATGAGGGTTAGGAGCGGAAGGCCATGGTTAATAATCAATAAATAATGGGGAAGGATAAAGCATGTTTTCTTTAGTTTTGCTATATTCATACTAACGACAATGGAGTTCGTTATATTCTTGTTCCGTCTAGATATTGGGCGGTCCATAATAAAGTGCCTCATTGGTAGGCGGGAGTTCAAGAAATAGTTGGTGAAGTTCTTTAGAGTTTAGTAACAGGGTTATTAGCCTTTTAAATTTGGTAAAGGTGTCACAGTTACGGATAGGTATTGGCAACCTGTTCCACAATAAACTATACCGAACTGTAAAAAACCTACAACGCATTTGTTTTTGGTGTTTTTCGGTAGTGGGCAGTTGATAATAACAATAATAATAATGAGTAATTACTGAATCGAAAATACGCAGGCATATTGATTCGAACCCTCGCCAAAACAGATGATGATAATCATGTAGTTCAATTGCTTAGTACAGATTTATGTACTTGGCTGGAGATGCACTATTTGAATGAGTACTGGGACCCAGGTGTGTAAACTGACGTAATATTATGTTTCAGTTTTACAGCCTAATGATTAGAAGTTAACTGCTTTAACCACTTGACTACCCTATCTCAAAATCGAATCAATCAGAGAGTTAAGTTTACAAATCTAGCATACAAGGGAACCTGATATACAACATTGGTAATATATGGTGCCCTAGATAGAAAGGCAATATAGATATCCCGGATATTCACTGAGTGTCAAAGCTGTTGTCAACAACAACTTTGTGATGGATGATTCCAAAGCTGGTCAAATCAGAAAACAGGAAAGAAAGGGTTTGAAATTGTCAATGTGTGTAGGAGTATGTAGTCGAAACCGATCAGTCGTTGCAAGATATGTGCGGCATGGTGTACCCAAAATCGATCTGGTGAGGATGAGTTATAGAGTGCCTTCAGCTGGCATGTGTCTAGTAAAACTAATGATATCAGCGTCAATGTTGAAGACTTATGGAACTATTTATTTTCGGGATTTATTAACCACTATGGCACTATTACTGATCCGTTTCAATGGTAACAAATATAGTTAATGAATCCTAATTTCGGTAATGCTTATCAACGACCGCCATTCATCTAACAACCGACACAGTTAACATCGATATATTAGTTAGCTTGGCTTACCAAAGATAATGATGATGCAACGGATATTCTAGTTTTACAACTAGATACCAGTAGCACCTTCTAAATTCGGTTGTTACCATTCAGATAGAAAATCAGAAGTCAAACGAGAAGAGGCAGGAAAGATATATTTGATTCGTTACCAATATATCGAGGACCTTTTCTATGAGCTGGCTAATGAAACGTAGGAGCTGTGTCCCACGCAGTATTGAAACGTGATCTGGTGCGGATGCATGACCGAAAGCCTTCAGCTAAACAAGTCCACTTAAACAACGTGGTCAGCATCCAATGTCGAACACTTAATGAGCTATTGATTTTGGGGAATTATTTACAGCTACAGATCACTCCCCCCCTAGTGAGGTAGTGATGCCCCTAAGACGTGACCAGCCAGAAGTTTAAACCCAACGAATTTGTCGTTGGTAAACACTCTTCTGATAGCTTGCTTCGTTTAGCAGCGTCTGGTCGTCTTTCCTTAAACTATGGGACTAAAATGTACAACGTAGCAAATAAAGAAATATAGTACAATGAAAATTTCTGTTCCTTGCGAAACTTCGTCGTTCTTTTCCAGCCGTCCTGGAAAAGAGGAAAAATAAAACGTGTGAGTGCATGTCAAAAATACACTCGTACTTGCGTAAGGACACAAGATGAGCGGAAAAAAAATAAACTGATACACTTACAAACAGCGTAAAAGCGATCGGAAAAAGGTTTTCTTTTGGTTTTTTTTTTAATATATAAATATATATCTATATACGCTCAAAAAAAATGTTGTTTTTTTTTGTTTTTTTTTTTACATAAATAAAAAAATGAGCATATTAAAAAAAATTATAATAAACTTTGAAAGGCTAATTCAAGATAAAGCTTATGTCCTACGTGCAATATTCGTTAAGATGTTCTGGAAATCTTACTCGTCTTCCAGAACGCGTTGTTTTAGGTTTTTCTATCGACGTTGACGAAGTATCAAGTTGTGTGTCGGTTGTCGTGTAGGGTACTACGAGTGTAGTAGCTGTGTCGTTTGCTTGTACCGAAGGAAAATCGACGTAGCTAGGGTTTCCTTCTAGGTACGCAGCTTTGAGTCGATCGATACTGATGCTATCTTTCGTACCGTTCTTGTCGACTACATAGTACTTAGGTTCGCGTTGAAGAACTTTGAAGGGTCCTTCGTATGCTGATTCGAGGGGTCGTCGATGTGAGTCTCGACGAACGAAGACGTGTGTACTATGTCGTAGTTCGGGTTGAACGAAAACATCAGTTGATTGAGGTCGAGTGTGAGCAGGTTTAACTGAACGCATAGCGTTTGTAAGCCTACTCGTGTAAGAGTTTAGATCCATGTTCAATGAAGAAACTGAAGGATCCACGAATTCTCCTGGGAGTCGGAGTGTCGTTCCGTAAACGAGTTGAGATGCCGTGTATCCAATGTCAGCTTTCACTGCATTGCGGATACCTAGCAAGACGAGTGGAAGAGCGTCTGTCCACTGTGAAACGTTTGAAGCTGATAATGAGGCTTTTAGTTGTCGATGAAAACGTTCTACCAACCCGTTTGCTTGTGGGTGGTAGGCGGTCGTTCGGAAGCGCGTGATTCCTAAAAGTGTGGTCAGACAACGGAAAAGTCCAGATTCGAACTGGCGTCCGCGGTCTGTAGTGATGGTTGAAGGGCAGCCGAAATTTGCTACCCATCGTTCGACGAAAGTGCGAGCCACTGTTTCAGCAGTAATGTCCTTAATCGGTACTGCTTCTGGCCATCGAGTAAAACGGTCTACGCATGTTAGGAGATATGAGTATCCGTTCGAGTCGGGTAAGGGTCCTACCAAATCTAGATGGACGTGGTCGAAACGAGCGTCAGGGGTTTTGAAAGAACCTAAGGGACATTTGTTGTGTCTGATTACCTTAGATTTCTGACAGCTTACACAGGAGCGTGACCACTCCCTCACGTCTTTATTCATGCCAGGCCAACAAAAGCGTTCGGCTATAAGTTCGATTGTTGCACGAGCACCTGGATGAGAAAGATTGTGCAACGTATTGAAGACGTTGCGGCGATAGTGTTTTGGTACAATTGGACGATCCCTACCTGTAGATGTGTCACAGAGTAAGGTTTCCTTACCTGTTCCCATCTGCCTAATACTTAGTTTAAGAGTTGTCGAGGATAACTCATGCTGAAGATCAATGTCTTCTTTTTGAAGCTGAGCGAGTTTAAGAAGGTCGATTCCTTGGAAACTGTTCAAGGAGCTAATTCGAGACAAGGCGTCTGCGACTACATTGTTTGCTCCAGAAATATGTTGTATGTCTGAAGTAAACTGCGAAATGTAGTCGAGTTGTCGAGACTCTCTTGGTGAGTACTTGTCTGAAGATGAACTTAAAGAGAAGGTAAGAGGTTTGTGATCGGTAAAGAGCGTGAATTCTCTTCCTTCGATGGAATGTTGAAAATGCCGTACAGCACAATACATAGCTAGGAGTTCCCTACCGAACGTGCTGTACCTAGATTCAGCGTCTAGCAACCGTCTCGAGAAAAATCCTAAAGGTTGCCACGAGTTGTTAACCCATTGTTGTAAGACTGCTCCGATTGCTGAGTCGGATGCGTCTACGGCGATACTAATGGGCGCTTGACTGTCCTGATGAGCAAGCAAGGTTGCTTTAGCGATGTGTTCCTTAACTGTGGAAAATGCTTTACGGGCTGTGTCGTCTAAACTAATTGATTTCGCATTTCCACGAAGCTGATCGGTCAACGGTTTCATTAGGGATGCGCATTTAGGTATGAACCGTCTATAGAAACTTACGAGTCCGTTAAAAGTTCGCAACTGCTTGATCGTGGTCGGTTCTGGGTAATCCAGAATGGCCGCCACTTTGCTCCTAAGGGGTCGGATGCCTTGGGCATCAATGGTGTGTCCTAAGAAATCTAAGCAGTTAGTTCCGATTTGGCATTTCTGAATGTTGACAGTAATGCCATGCCTTTGAAGTCGATCGAAAACAATGTCCAGATGCTTGAGATGCGATTCTCTGTCCGGACTTGCTATTAGACAGTCATCAACATACGCATGTACGAAGTTGAGACCTCGGAAGACGTCGTCTATAAACCTTTGGAAGGTTTGAGCCGCGTTTCTTAAACCAAAGGGCATTCGTAGAAATTCGTAAAGACCGAAGGGAGTGATGATGGCGGTTTTAGGAATGTCGTCAGTTGCCATCGGGATTTGGTTATAAGCTTTAACCAAGTCGATTTTCGAAAAGACAGTTGTGCCTTTCAAGGTAGCTGTCAAATCGTGAATATGAGGCAGCGGGTAACGATCGGGAATGGTTTTAGCATTCAGACGCCGATAATCACCAGTTGGCCGCCAATCATTGCTGTCCTTTTTAGGGACCATGTGCAATGGGGATGCCCATGGACTATTCGATGGTCGAATTATTCCTAGGTCCATCATGTGGTTGAATTCGTTTTTAGCTAACCTAAGTTTTTCGGGAGCGAGTCTTCGGGCTTTCGAAAATACAGGTGGTCCTGTAGTCGAGATGTGATGTGTAACATTGCTGGTTACACAAGGTAATTTCGATTGCGATTGGTATATCCCGGGGTATTTGTCGAGTACTGCTTGGTACAAGGGGTCTATGGCGTGCTTAATCGTGACTGGGGATAACCTGCAACCAGAACAAGGAGTTACGCAAACGGACAACTTAGTGTTTCCGTCTATTAACCTTCGTGAGCGTGTGTCGATGAGTAGATTGTGGTGTTGTAACAGGTCAATACCAATGATTGGCATAGAGACATCTGCAACCACGAAAATCCAGTGTATGGGTTTACGTAAACCCACGTTAAGGTAGACATACCTTTTACCGTAAGTAGCGATCGGCTTTCCGTTTGCCGCCTGTAAACTTAAAACAGACTCGCGAAGTCTGTCGTCGAGATTTGCTGGAAGAACGCTAACTTCTGCGCCAGTGTCGACGAGGTAGCGAACTTTCGTAGTCACATCCGTGACATATAAGAGGCGGCTGTGTTCGCCGGCTACGGTTGCCGTTAACGCGTGCCGGCTGGGAAGTTTCCCGAACTGTTTTTCGTGTCAGTCGATTTTGAAGTCGGATAATTGCAAGGTTTCCTGCAATTTCTGGAAAACTTACCGTACTGGTTATGATACCAGCACCAGTCGGGATTGTCTGTCTCTCGTGGTCGAGAGCCAGATCTCTTACGTGAGACGCTTCTACGCGGGGTTTTTGACCGACTACGGTCATTGCGAACTCTAAGATATCGTGTAAGCGTGTGACATAGTTCGGCCATGTCAGTCGAGGTCGATTGGGGTTTTTCTTTGACGGAAAAAACCTCGGCCTTAGAAGATCTAGTGATTTCCAAGATTCGATCGGCAGATGCAGCTAGTTCATCTATGGCATTGTTTTGAAATGAAACAAGCACTGCCTGCACCTGTTGAGGGAGTTTAGACAAGAAAAGTTGTCTAAATAGGCCATCATCGAAAGTTCGTTGGCCGATGACTTCTCTCATTCTAAGCAACATGTCCGTCGCAGAACCATGTTGCAAGTCGATATTGTTAAGGAGTTGGTCTAACCGTTGTCGATCAGTTAGGTCTCCTCGTTTTAAAATCGATAGCTTAAGCGATTCGTAAGGTTCGGAAACATCACTAGTAAACATACTAGGTGTTACGTACCTGTTAAACTCGCGCGGTAACGCCTTAACTACCGCGAGGAAACGTGTGCGCGAGTCCGTGATTCCGTGCATGCAAAAATCGGCTTCTGCATAGCAGAACCAGGACTCGATATTGTCGGGCCAAAATGGCGTTAACTGAATCGAAATAGGGGGAATAGACTTTAACTTAAGAACCTTAGGAGAGTGTTCCGTCATAGTAATATAGATATCGAAAAATGTCTAAGTAAAATATATTCGAGAAAAAAAAATTCGCGAAAAAAGTATATCACAATATATAAAATTCAAATAAAGAATAACAATGAATAATAATGTTCCAAAATGGAACAGACTCACAGTATATTGACTTGGTGTACCAGATCACGTCGGGTTCACCAATGATGATGCAACGGATATTCTAGTTTTACAACTAGATACCAGTAGCACCTTCTAAATTCGGTTGTTACCAGTCAGATAGAAAATCAGAAGTCAAACGAGAAGAGGCAGGAAAGATATATTTGATTCGTTACCAATATATCGAGGACCTTTTCTATGAGCTGGCTAATGAAACGTAGGAGCTGTGTCCCACGCAGTATTGAAACGTGATCTGGTGCGGATGCATGACCGAAAGCCTTCAGCTAAACAAGTCCACTTAAACAACGTGGTCAGCATCCAATGTCGAACACTTAATGAGCTATTGATTTTGGGGAATTATTTACAGCTACAATAAAAAACTCTTGAAAACTACACAATAGTAACATATATGATATTGATTGCTCACAGGCGGACGTTGTGTTGTTCTCTCACCAACTACCAAATGGGAGAAATGAAACTCACGTAGGAAATGTCGATACCTTGTTTATTGAGCTGTGTTCAAACAAACTGTGTCATAAGGAATTTTCAATTTATTTTATCTGAAATTTCACTCGTTTGTGAAAATACAGACTTTCTCATCTCTTATTCAAACATTTTTCTCCTTCTTCTTCTTCAGGATGATAGCACAATGGTAGAATAGTCAATCTGCTTGTTTTTTGTAGTTTTACTATTCACGTTTCGGTAGTAAGACTCGAGTTTACGGGTTATATATGACACCCTACATGCAACTACGTTCTTAAATTCAGGGTCGTAACTGGATTTGGGCACTATACGACACATCTAAGTGAATTCATTGTATATTTGCCTTCCACTTTCCAAATAACATACATTATTTAACATTTGTTAGTTTGTTTTGAGCAAATGAACTATTTGGGAGAACAATATTCATGATGATTTTCATTTCAAAGTCTAACTTTTGCCTTATTTGATCACTTCATCCTGTTAGTTAAGATGAGCTGTAGTGATGTGTTCACGGAAACATATGGAGGCAGCTTTAGATAACTGGAGTGAAGTCTAAAGTAGAATTTACACTACCGTATGCCTAACTGACACCAGTTGAACGGAAAATGATCCATAATTCAAACTGATATCTTATGGAGAAATTCTTACATCACTGAGTATTTACCCATTAGAGGATGGGTGTTCCAGATGTGACCTTCTAATAATTTACAGCATACTAAAAATTCCTGAGCATCTCCTTAGATGATTATTTTATCTCAGTCCCAATACAAATGTTGATGCAACGGATGTTCTAATTTTACAACTAGTTACCAGTACCACCTTCTATGTTCGATCGTTACCAGTCAGATAGAAATCAGAAGTCAGACGAGAAGAGGCAGGAAATATATATTTGATTCGTTACCAATATATCGAGGACCTTTTCTATAAGCTGGCTAATGAAACGTAGGAGCTGTGTCCCACACCGTGTTGAAACGTGATCTGGTACGGATGCATGACCGAAAGCTTTCAGCTAAACAAGTCCACTTAAACAACGTGGTCAGCATCCAATGTTGAACACTTAATGAGCTATTGATTTTGGGGAATTATTTACAGCTACACAAACCTTAGAGTTAACGCCCAGAAATGAGAGACAACATATATGAGCGGATTGTAGGTGCACCTTCTACTCTTCACGAGCAGTCATATTCTGGAATACGTTATCGAGTGAGATATTCAAAGAGACCTCTTAGGAGTTATTTAAGAGAAAACATGACATATTCTTAGGGAATCAGGACAGCATCTCACTCTAATTTACCAATATTTTTCTTTTGTCGTTAAATATGCAGAGGTAAATGAATCCTCAAACCCAACAACCTTATAAGTCTCAGACCTTTGGTGCTCGCCACAATGGTTTTATCGGACACATCTAGCTGAAGGCTCTCGATCACGCATCCTCACCAGATCAGTAGTGGGTATGTTGTGCTATGCATCGCTTTCAACTGCTAGTCAGATCAAACCAAACGTTCCTTCAACATACCAGTAGCTTTAAAAGTATATCTCCGAACTCCTTCATTTCTGACTTCTGATTTGACTAGGTTGGTATACTTCGACTATGAAGGTGTCACTGGTTAAGGAGTTATCACACTCCAGATACTTGTGACATCTTCAAATATACCTAGGTTTCTATCTGGAAGTGTCGGTGATCCATTGCTACTAGATACGAAGGCCCGTCAAGCGAAATCTTATATTCCGTCCAAAACCATCTGAACCACTTAGATATCGTACTTTCACTGACCACTGAGAGCGGTTGGTTACTCACACGCCTTGAATGTACATCTGAGAATTGAAAATGTGTAGCTACACTCAATGGTTAGCGCCTATCTCAAAATGTTGGTATGACTGATGACTTCTCGTAAGAGATCCTCCTACAAAAGGAAAGCATCTGTTTTGGCTGGACTGGAAGCCCTTAATTCCTTTAAGGTTCCGAAAAAGCAGAGTAATTTGTGTAAGTGGGAACTCAAATGTTTGTGTTGTCTTGAGTGTGGGTTACATTATTTTTCCTTCTGCCTCATGTTTTGCTGGAGTCACTTAATTATTGTGGTCCACTAATGCTTTTATGGTATACATGGCTTTTGAGGTCTTTCTACTAGTATTGTCGAAATCTTCATACTACGCATGTTTTAAGCCAGTATACTCATTCGATCCTATTAATGAGACTTGTAACATGCTCATTCATCTTCACAAAATTGCAGTTGCAGTGAAAATGGGGACAAACTCGTGGTAGTTTCAGTCATATATTTTAAACGTATATATATATGATTGTTGTAGCAAGAGCATTCAGATACTGGTAACTGTGGAAGTCGTACTTTATCTAGCTTATCAAGGATTACTCTAACACATTCACTTGTCAGTGACAGTCCCGTTCTGTCAGGACGCTGACAAAATAGTCTTTTGTAATGATGACAACATATTTGGGTTTTGTTTTCTAAATGCATATTGTTGCTTCAGAACTAATCTATGTCAACATCTGAGACAGTAGTCGAAAATGAGTTAGTTGATTGTGTTGACCGCTCCACTTATCTTGGAAGTTCGATCAACCCTGGTGGATTTTTTTTGTACAAAATCTCAACACGGATTCGTCAACTCCAGGTGGCTTTTTACCAACTTGCGTTCCGTGAAGCATAGGCGAGATGTCTCTCTTCCAACCAAAGGACGCGTTTACTGGGTGGAAGTTCGTTTTATTTCATTTTACTACTAAAATGTGACATTTAGAAGTAGAGGATATTTATGGATTATTAGTCTTTTCATCATATGTACTTTTAAAACATCTACTGGAACCAACGAGTAGTCTAGGTAAGGACATTTATTCGGTTGATGAGGTCGCAGAGATTCGTTAACTGGGAGTGTTCGGGACATGTATTGTTTATGCTCAACCATCATCTCAACGTGCAATGCCAGCTGGTGTAAAAGTAACCAGCGAGAATGCTACTGTTCGGAACGGGTCATAGTGGCGCCATGCTCTTTATTTCCCCTCTAAATCCTAAAATCCTATATTCCTTCATACATATCTTCCCATCTAGTCTTAACGAACCATGTTCTTACTATTTAGTTTTTTTTCATTGTCATTGCCACCAAATCGTTCAGGCCTTCGTACTATTCATCTCGTTAATTTCGTCTCGTTGTGTCAATGTGATATGACATGGCTCAATCCACATTTGTTCTAATTTTTACGTTGATGACTGATTGTTGGAAAGCTGATAATTGACTGTCAAGCAAATCTTCATGGACTTATAAATGTTCGTTGTGTATGTTTAAAAGTCCTCTTATACAGTATAAAAACCAAATACGAAGGTGCCGGATTTTAATTGATCGATAAAAATTGTCTAAGGAACATGTGCTTTTCTACGTCGTTCTTTGTGATTGTGGTAATAAGTGTAATTCATTTAAACTTTTCTATAATATGATTTGGCTCGGTATTTGATTGTTTTTGTTTATAGTAAAGGATATCTTATGAGTCAGTTAAATTAACTTATATGCATCAGTCCAAGTTGCCATACCTCGTTAGCACAACAAGATGAACACCGGATTAATTAATTTAGTGGTGGTAGTATAAAAAGAATGGTTGTATATAAGGATATAGTGTAGGAAGGAAAAAAGTTATGAAGCGATTTTAATCTCAAGGTTTAAGGTAAGATAAAAAGTGTATACACGTACGCCATTGTGATCGATTCTGAGCTATGTCACTCAGAGTCTCCAACCATTGGTTACCAACATGACTCAGACTAAAAGTTAGTAACTTCAAGCACTGATGCCATGTTTTGGTTTGGCCGCCCCTAACTCTCTTCCAACCATCCCCAATACTAGTCATCATACAGCGTCGTGGTAATCGGTGTTCAGGCATGTGTAACGCGTGGCCCAACCATCTCAGTCGATGAATATTCATCACCTCATCAACCGATTTACCATCATTCCCTAATACCCTGCGTCTAACCTCACTATTACCTACCCGGTTATACCAGCAGATGCGAGCAATATTTCCAAGGCATCTGTGGTCAAACACTAGTGAATTACGAGAGTCTTCTACTCTTAATGGCCATGTTTCACAGCCGTAAAGTGGAACAGAGCGAACTGCTGCGCAGTATACTCGTCCCTTAATTGGTAGACGGATATCTCGTCTTCGCCATAGGTGACGTAAGTTGGTAAAATCCAAACGAGCTTTTTGAATCCGTGCTGAGATTTCGTCAGATACCAACCCATTAGGGCTGGTCAGACTTCCAAGATAAGTGTAGTTGTCGACGCGTTCGACCACTTCACTCTTTAGTTCGGGTGTTGACGCAGGCCAGTCCTGGAGTAACAATTTACATTTGGATGTAGTGAAACGCATCCCAAACATCCTGGCATTATTACTGAGTTCCAACAGAAGACTTTGCATTCTGTCTGCGTCTTCACCAAACAAGACTATGTCATCTTCGTATTCTAAGTCGATAAGTGAACATCCTGGTAGAAGATCAACTCCTGAAAATTCAGTCGACGAGAGTGTCATTTCCAGTAACAGGTCTATAATGAAGTTAAACAAAAATGGGGATAGTGGACAGCCTTGACGGACACCACTTGAGGTTGTAAAATCATATGACAGTTCGCTATAAGGTCTCACTCGACTGGTAGTGTTCGAGTAAAGAGCCTTCACAAGGTTTATGTACTTCCGAGGTACACCTTTCAATGACAGACACTGCCACAGAACCTCTTGGTCTAGAGAGTCAAATGCTGCTTTCAAGTCAAGAAAAACTATCATTGTCGGACGCCGATAAGCGTGTCTGTGCTCTAAAACTTGACGAATGGTGAATATGTGGTCGATACAGCCACGACCAGGTCTGAAGCCAGCCTGATTTTCTCGTGTTTGCAGTTCACGA